TGGATTTTTTTCCCTTGATAGGTCAGAATCTCCAGAGAGAGAGAGAGAGAGAGAGAGAGAGAGAGAGAGAGAGAGAGACCATGTAAAACCGAAAGTTTTGGGAAAGCCTCATAGCACAATCAGCTTGTAATAGGCCTATGTTAGGTCGGGACAGGTCAGAGCTTATCCCTTGTCTTCCGCTTCCATCTAAACAAATAACAGGATAAATTTAGACCAGCGCAAACTCGACCATGACATTAGTCAGCCTACTTGTCAATATTATCTGGTTGGGAATTCCGTTCGGGCAGTTCCGCGTGGCTATAAATAGAATGTTTCTGCTACGAACCGGATGTTCATGGTCTATAACACTTTGTTGTAAGGCACTTGTCTTCAGCTGCTTTGGTATTTTTAAGTTTGAGGTTATGCCTTTCGTAATAACGTGATAAATTGGTAAAATAATTTCCATTCGCTTATTCAGGGATTGCGCTCTTGTGGTGATGCATTTTGGCTGACAATGATTGGTGTTGTAAAGGTGTTTTTCCTGGGTTTTTTAAAACCCCAATAACCTTGTACAGAACATGTACGATGCAATCCAAAATAATTCATTATTCTTTAGTTTTTTGTGTTTAGTGGTATCAGAGGACATTTTTGCCTAAGACAAACGCACATGTACATATGTACACGTAGGCCTACATACACATAATAATACCACATCACATGGCGCTCTTAGAGTCGAGGAACAAGCCTTCTCGGACAAGGGCGAAACATTTCGAATGTTCCGTGTGCAAGTTGCGCACATTAAAGATCCCTTTGTGGTTTAAAATCTATAAGAGTAGGCTTCGGCCTCCACCCGGGCAAAACTCAAAATTTCCTACCGACTGAAAATGTCTTATGTGTCTCGCGCGCTCATATGACAGTGTGCAGTTGCAAGCTCCGTAAAACACTTACAAAAAAAAAGACGTCGAGGGTCAGTCAGATTACAATTACTGACCGTTCATAGGCCTATACGTCTGCTCCATTCCCACTCACACACTCTCTCTCTCCTCTCTCGATCTCTCGATCTCTCGATCTCTCGATCTCTCTCTCCCTCTCTCTCTCTC